TCTATAAAATGGAGACGATTTAGCGAAAAAAAAAATTTTTCACGTATTGAGTTGGTTTCAGATATTGAAAGTATTAACGGAGATTATATAACTTTTTTTGTAAGAAATGTTGCGTCTAACTCGAACGACTTGATGCTTGGTATAAACATTAATTAACGACAAATAAATATAATTGCTAGGATTCAAAAGTAACCGACCGAGTTTGAAAGAAAACATCTAATTTACCCCATAAATCTATGAAATTCTACTTTGGTTCAAGATTAAAACCTCTAATTTATCAAATCTATGAGATCTAATCAGACGCTAACTGAGAGATTTGTCGTAAGAAATCCTATCTCCAAGAAACTACTAACATTCTGCACTGTAATCACAATAAGAGCTGATTGCGCTAATACTCGAGTTAAAATCCCTAATCGGAGATCACTGAACTCGCGATTAGAGTTTGACCGCGGGTTTGAATCATCGATTAGGAATAACTTAATCATAATAGATCCAGGAATTAGACCATTAGATCCAGGAATAACTTAATCATAATAAAATCATACTTAATTCCAACAATTAGAATTACAATTCCACGCAATTCCAAGGTAATCACCACCGGCGTAAACGCACTAATAACGTAAAATATTTTTAAACATTCTTTATACCAAACTCTTTCGTTATATCCAGCCCACACGAAGTATAAAGATCTTAAATCGAGCCAAACGCCACGTTCTATTTAATATCAATAATAAATCTCGCAGAACCCTAAATTTCAAGATATTAGGTTAAATAAAATATTCCAGGCATTTGTAATGCAACGTAACGTAATTAAAACGGTGTGAACACATTCTTGAACCTAATATATCGAGTCGATTTTGAAATCGGGGACCGGAAGTGATTACTCGAGAGGAACATTCTATTTAATATCAATAATAAATCTCGCAGAACCCTAAATTTCAAGATATTAGGTTGAATAAAAAATTGCCGAAATTTGTAACGCAACTTAATGTAATTTAAACGGTGTGAACACATTCTTTAACCTAATACATGAGATCGGTTTTGGAAATCGGGGACCGGAAGAGATCACTCGGGAGGAACGGCGTCCAAGGTCAGAAGCCCTAACTCGATTCGCTCCTTCCATCAAAGCAAGACAGTAATCTGAACTAAATTCAGTAATAGACTCTCCGTCGTGTACTTATGTACCCTAATCCGTGATACTACTATATAACAGATGCACGCCTTTCGATACGAGGAGATATTTTCGAAGAGCACTGATACCACGTGGACGTAAAGAGACTCGGTCGCCCCACGTCGACGCACCTTGTCGAAAATGACGGAAAGGCTGGTCAAAACGATTTGTCTGCCTGAACGTCAAATTATAGTATTTCTATATTACATTTCATCAGTCCTACCTTGAATTATTCACCATTCAGGTATTAAAAATTAATAACTGAAAAACTAGCCGAAGAACACCCTAACGTGATGTATCGATATTTAAAGTCCTTCTAACGTTCTTTTAATTTCACACCTTAAATTGATATATTATAATACCTTGTAATGTAATATAATACCTTATGAGACCTTAAATATTTTCTTTGGCACATTTTTCAGTTCCACGATAGATATTTCATTTTTGACATTTTCCTAAGCTTTTCCGTGATTTTCGACACTGTGCGACGCCAACGCCAGTGCGGCACTTCGCAGAACCATCCACCGCGTTTCCGGACAATTGGATTGGACTTCTTTTTCCGATAATTGCGCATAAAGAAATCTCTGATTTGAAAACCCGCGACCAGAAGGTGTCGTTCGGCGGGAAATACGTCCAAGGTCTTGGTCCTTGGTGTAGGTTTGTTCGGGTTACCTGCACTTCTACACTCGAGGGTAACGAGGGTACTACACTTTTCTTGAAAGGTGCAGAAGGGTAGATACACTTTCGACGACGTCCCGAACGCCAGGAAGCTCAAGAAAGTACAAGATGGCGGATATAGCGGGACAGTGTGCGGTTTTTGAGCCATTCGAATCGGATTACGATGAAAATGAAGATGTAACGCTTCCTTCGTTACATCTTCTAGCAAATTATGATGCACTTTCTGCACTTTGTACTCTCGAGGGTAACGAGGGTACTACACTTTTCTTGAAAGGTGCAGAAGGGTAGATAGACTTTCGTCGACGACCCGAACGCCAGGAAGCTGAAGAAAGTACAAGATGGCGGATATAGCGGGATAGTGTGCGGTTTTTGAGCCATTCGAATCGGATTATGATGAAAATGAAGATGTAACGCTTTCTTCATTACATCTTCTAGTAAATTATGATGCACTTTCGGTACTTTCTATCCTCGAGGGTAACGAGGGTACTACACTTTTCTTGAAAGGTGCAGAAGGGTAGATACACTTTCGTCGACGTCCCGAACGCCAGGAAGCTCAAGAAAGTACAAAATGGCGGATTTAGCGGGATAGTATGCAATTTTGGAGCCATTCGAATCGGATTATGATGAAAATGAAGATGTAACGCTTTCTTCATTACATCTTCTAGTAAATAACGACGATAACGATAATACATGATGCAGGAATACATAACAATTGTAAATAAATAAAATGCAAATCAATACATAATTTGTAATAAACAACGATCGTACAATTTTTCAAAGGCCACGTAGAAAATTAAATCGCTAAACCGTTCCATACACGGCGAAAATGTATTGATAATTATTTCTATCTACATTACGTTGTAATCTTGGAAGAAACTTTGTACTTTCCTGTTTGTCGGTCTTTTCAATTCTTCAAATTTCCCGCCGAATTCACGACCTACACTTTTATAACGTCTTGCCCTCGCTCTGGATCGAGGGTTGAAAGTTTAGAGAAAGTGTACACTCGGGGTAGATGCCCTCGCAAAATGAACGGCGACGTCTGCGTAACTTCCGTCAAAACGAACGCCAAAGTGTACACTTTTCCGTTAAAGTGTAGAAAGTCTAGGCAAAACGAACAAACCTTGTGAGAGATCGGTCGAGTCAAACTAGACGTATAATTATTGGCTGCGGCATGGACGCCGGTTCCCGCCGAGCCCGAGCGCAGGCTTAGCGCGGATCGTCGAAACTGAAGCTCCCTTTTTGCCGTGCCGTCGGAAAGCCCGAAGCGGCCAGGGAGTTTGATTGCGCGAATAATCGCGGGATAACTGAGCGGTACCTATAGCGCCGCTTAATGTACTCCCCTACTCTCTGAGAGAGGTGAATCGAACGATGCGCGGCCTCGCGTAGCTTCCGAGGTACGCGGCGACGCCGCTCCTGGCGCCATCTCTCTGCGACTGATAGACCCACCTACTCAACGCCGGTAACGTTACTAGCAGCTCTCGAGAGATGGCGCGAGTGTGGCCTAGCATTGGCTCATAAAGGTTCTGTAAAACACCTAGTGTTTTTAAGGTGAAGTGAAACACGTCGAGGAACTTGATCGACGTCTACAAAGGTTTTTCTAAATGCCAACGTTGCGTTCGTTTTTATGTTGACAGCTGGGTCGAATTATATTGGGTATTGTACCAAATGGCATACTCCACCTGTCGCTTTCGTACAATAATTATAAAGAAATCGAAGTAAAACTCCGAAACCCTCTGGGTTCGTGCTTTCTGGGGCCCTAATTGACTGCAGAGGGACCCCCTGCGCCATCTGTGATTTCCAGGTGAATTAAATTTTCCCTCCAAGACGTCGTATTACCATCGTTTTAGCATAGAAGCGCATACAACACTTTTTTTGCCTTTATCCCGTTCAAATGCGAATTTATCGATTACCAGAGTGTTCTAAATTGTCGTAAAATTACCCTGACCCTTTCGTCTCTCATATTAGAGCCTTCAATAATTGTATATTGATCGAAATATCAGAGCTCGACGCCATTTTGGTTCTAGGCTGAGCAGAGTTAACATTTTTTTAAAAAAATCCAAATTTTGAACGTGTCAGGACAATTCTGAGATGATCAGGAGTGATGTGTCAAAGTTTCGGACAGTTTGGTCTAATACCCATAAAAAAAAAGTGTTGTATTCGAATCGACTGGTTTGAATGGGGTTTCACTTCACCTTAAATCCTTTAGAATTTATACTCAAGTAATATAACCGGAGATGATGGACGGATGTCCGTCGACAACACGACAAAACACCGACACAGGGAATAAACAGAGGAGTCAATCACGCTTTTTAACGTAGACTGTAAAAGGTATCAACATAAATATTAATGTCGGTAATGGGACGCGCCATCTTATGTTACCACTTGAGTGTTCAAAACGGCCCCTCACCAAAAAGGGTATAGATGAATTTAACTTTACTAAGGTCGATTCAATTTCATAGCGTCTTTCATATCCCCTTAGTTCCGCACATTAGAGAATGGAAACACGAGTCGATTTTGCAGGGCACTTACCACGCCATCTTGGTCTTGAAATTAACAGGGGATTCCCGCAGCTCGAAAGTGAAACGTCCGTTCTCCCTCGAGATTATTCGGTAATAATATATTGTAGGGTAATAATGAATATAACAGAGACAGTATTTTACAGAAACTAATACTAGGAGTATAGGACAGGTCCCGAGGGAAGCGCAGAGCCTTCCCTGAGAACCGAGTCATGTTTTCATCCCTAACTTTTCTCCCGAGGGCCACGACGGCGATAGATTAGCAATCTCCCTAATTCCACGTCGGGCATCGAACAATAGATAAACAGCGACAACAGGGACTCAGGGACATCGATACAGGTATTAATGGTACCTCTAATATTACCGGTAATAATANTTTATTTATAGGTATTTTAAAAATTGTTTATAAAAAAATGAAATTTTATAGGTGTCAGGACCTTCCTTAAAGCCTTAATATCCACGTAATGAAGTTTGACATGATTCGGTACTCCCAGATAGGAGAAAAGTTTCATAAACGAGAACCCTTTGACGCCACTTTCACATCGCCTTAAATTATCGAGTTAAGTGGCGTCAAAGGGATTTCATTTATGAAACTTTTCATCGAATTGGGTATATCGAATCGTTCCAAACTTTACAATATCAATGTGAAGGCTGTAAGGAAGGTCCTGACACCCACGAATTTTCGATTCTATTCAAATTTGTTTATAGACATTTTTACATTTTTTATATAAAATGTGACGTTTTAAGGATGTCGGGACCTTCAATGGGGCCTTCGTATTCACGTGGCAGAGTTAGAAACGATTTGGTACACCTAGTTCCGATGAAAGTGTCATAAACGAGACCTCTTTGACGCCACTTTTACATCGCCTTAAGACTTGCGCTACTTTCGAGTTTTTAGACGAAAGACTTGCGCAGGTCGAACTGCCTGAAATGTCTATTTTCAGTTTTGGAGTAAAAGATGACAATTCGTTGTTTTCACCTTGGACCATCCCGCTCTAAGTGCGCTCAGGGAAACAAACCCCTTTTCGTGGCCGAATGATTTCGTCAAGTTGGTACAAACTCGCGGATGAACATCGAGACCTCGTCGATGCCTTCGGTTAAGACACTTTGTGACGGATTTTTAAAAGGCAACGACTCGGATAACGAAACTATCGTCATTAATAATCGACTTTCCTCAAGCTCCCTCCATTTTAAACCTTAGACCAGTGGCAGACGAAGAGAGCAACGTTTCGCCACTTAGGCCACCACTCATTAAGGGGATGTGAAAGTGGCATCCGAGAAACCAATAGTTCATGACACTTTTCTCCGGACTGGGTGTCCCGAATCGTTCCAAACCTTACAACGTGAATATGGAGGCTATAAGGAAGGTTCCGACACCCATGAAATTTCATTTTTTATAAAAAAAATGCCAAGATATCTATAAACGAATTTTTAAAAAATTGAAATTTCGCTATTGTCAGGACCTTCCTTGCAGCCTCCATATACAAGGTGTAGTTTTACCCGTCTCGGTACACCCAGTTGGGAGAAATATTTCAAAAAACGAGACCGCTCTGACCTCACTTTCCCATCGCCTTAAGGCTATGTGCACCTCCTAGATTTAAACGCCTATCCAATGGACTCGTGTGTGGTTGCCGAAATGAACACACCGGAATTTCATAAATCACTCCGTCTAGCAATTGAACATCACTTAGCGGTCAGCTGTTTAACAACCGCAGGTGTAATGGCAACTACCTGAGAATGGTTAATTGTCTAATTACAGCTTAAAGATGAAGAGGAACGTTTGATGCAGTGTATAGTTGGGGTCGCATGCTCTTTGGGGAGATTATAGTCGTCATGGTGGATAGAAACACGGAATACCGTCTTCCTAAAATAGTAAACGGTGCGCCGAGTTTGCAAACCACACACTAGTACCAATTGCGCGTTCATACCACACAATTCTTTCACCCCGTGATGGACATTGATGGTTAAATGTCTAATTACAGCTTAAAGATGAAGAGGAACGTTTGATGTAGTGTATAGTTGGTGTCGCATGCTCTTCGGGGAGATTATAGTCGTCATGGTGGATAGAAACACGGAATACCGTCTTCCTAAAATAGTAAACGGTTCGCCGAGTTTGCAAACCACACACTAGTACCAATTGCGCGTTCATACCACACAATTCTTTCATCCTGTGATGGACATTGATGGTTAATTGTCTAATTACAGCTTAAAGGTGAAGAGGAACGTTTGATGTAGTGTATAGTTGGTGTCGCATGCTCTTCGGGGAGAATATAGTCGTCATGGTGGATAGAAACACGGAATACCGTCTTCCTAAAATAGTAAACGGTGCGCCGAGTTTGCAAACCACACACTAGTACCAATTGCGCGTTCATACCACACAATTCTTTCATCCCGTGATAGACATGATCGCCTCATTGTCACCTATCACCATTGTCGCCTCCACCGTTGAGTTCCACGTGTCCAAAGCATCAGGTCCAACTGTTTCCAGCTGCCGTCCACCACGCTTGCGGAATCCGTCCACTCTGATATATTCTAGGAAGGAAGCAACCGGTGGATAAGAAATCCCGCGAGCGTGAGGAAGGTAAAACCTTATCAACATGCTTCAACCTTAGGACTCGAGGCACCATGGCGAACCAAAATAAATGAGAGAGCAGTCTGGACGGCGGACTACCACCCTGAGAAAAAAAAAAGACCTGTCACTGAACCATAGAAATATTGGGTGCAAAAGAAATTTCTATCGCTTTTGAACACATACTTAGAAAAGAAAAAACGACATAACTTTCCCATAAACCTAATCTTCCTTTGAACAGCACCAAAGGAATACCTTGTAAGTTCAAAGAATAATTGGCTCGCATGAACTGCAATTAATTGGATGTAACGTTTCTTCAGAATTTATTCACGTTATTTTCTGTTAAGGCGAAGTGAATGTGGCGTGGAGAGGATTATAAAATTATGAAACTTTTCGCCGAAGAGAGTTTATAGAATTGTTTCAAACTCGACAACGTGAATATGGAAGCTATAAAAAAGATCCTGACGTCTATAAAATTCTCAATTTTTTGTAAATTTGTTTATAGATGTTTTCAAAGTTGTTTATAAAAAAATCAAGTTTCATGAGTTTCAGGACCTACCCTAGGGTCTCCGCATTCACGTTGTAAAGTTTTAAACGATTTGGTAGACCCAGGTCGTAGAAAAGTTGCATGAACGATTGACGCCACTTTGACATCCCCTTAAAACAGCGGGAACTTATTCCTTAACCTAATATCTTCGGTACTATTCCCAGGAATATTTCTTTGGTTCCGTGAATTCCTTTTTTTTTCCGTTTCGCAGTGCCTCGATGCAATTAAACAAGTAATGGTGTTTCAACCCGTGTAAACGGTTGGGCAGAAACACCAATCAAGGCGACCAGCGAGGAACAAAATCGGCTTTGGTCTTGCAGTCTTGATCTCGGGTAAAAAGTACAACAACCAAGACGAAGACCAAGACTCGAACGTGCAAGATCAAGACCAACACCAAGACCCTGGTACCGTTGGTCTCGCTCTATCATTTGCCCATCACCATCGCCCAACCCTGGCAAACTCCTCTACTTGGTTCCCAGTCCCCGCTCCAACGGTGCGTCCACGTTTTCGCTTACCGTACAATACTAGCCTAGTATTTTACATAAATAGTATAACTAGTTTCTCTCTTTGGAGGCGATTGGCAGCGACGCAGTCCAAACCGAGGCGCACGCACCGCGAAAGCGCCAATTTTGGCTCCTACGGAAGAGAACAGGGAAGACAGGTGTCGGATAAGAAGGTAACCGAGGCGTTTCTCGCCTATCTCTAATCGACATCTTCGAAAGATCACGCGAAGACTCGCCTTCGGCTCCGACAAGGGCGTTCCCCGGTTCTTCCAAAGAAGGTATCTAAAAGTGTTCCTGTTTCGGAAACCGCGAGCCTATCCGACGGCTCCAAACCCGAGACATCGACCTCGCAGAACGAACGGGCTGGTACACTCTTCGTATCCACCATGGCTGCCTTTTTTCCGGGTCTTGTGTGGCTCTTCTGCCGTTCCTTCGGTATAGACAGCGCCACCGGTGGCGGCGCGCGGTACTAAACGGCAAGTGTACCAAAGGCGCGCTACGAGGCCGCAGCTACAGTCGGGATCCCTCGGATGGCTCGTTGTCTCTTCTACTGGAGCCTCGCCTCCTGGGGCGTCGTTTGGTAAGGTAGACCCGGAAAAGCGGCTCCTGCTGCCGTGGCTCCTGGCAAACCTGCCGCACCTGGCAGGGTGGCGTAGGTGTAAGGTGTTACGTAACTCGCCGCTGCGGCTGCATTCGCTGAAAATCAATTTTTATTTTTTTTTTTTCATTTTTAAACAGTAATAAAGGATTGAGGGAAAGCAAAACCTCTCTTATCATTAAGGCTAAGTACAATATAAAATCATGCGATTCCGTTGGTTCATTGTGCAGGAAAGAAAGGTTAAGAACCACTGAAAAGGGGGAGCCAAACGGTAGGAATGCTTTTCTGGATGATCAGAAGCCAAAAGTCTCCTTATTAACGTTCTTTTTATCTCCGAGCACCCATAACCTCCAAAGAACTTTCCCATAAACAAACCGCGGAAAGGAAACGACGCCGCCGTTGCAACATCCATCCCACTACGCAAACGGAACCTCTAATTTGCAATCATTACAAAATCTACTCATTGTAAGAGTCATGCGAAAGAGAAATGACGAGTACCGCCATGAAAAGTGGACCCAAGGCTTGAAATATGTACAATATATTGTATGAAAAAATTCACTTTCTAAACAATTACTAAAGAAATTAATTACTTGCGACCATTTAAATGTTTCCCGCTAGAGAAACGTCTTAAGGAGATATGAAAGTGTGACATATACATACCAGAAAGTCAAAAGATTTATAAGACTTTTCTGCAAACTAGGTGCAACAAATTATCTAAAACTTTAACCCGTGATTATGGAAACTCTAAGGAAGAACGCGCTGTCCGTGAGATTTCATTTATCGAAAATAAAAAAAATATCTTTTTGGTTCTTATCTGAAATAAATCCGAATTTTTTTTTTTTTTGTAAAAAAAATGAAATTTCACGAGCATCGCGTTCTTCCTTAGGGCCCAATCTCCTGATGAAATTTCAAATAATTCGGTGCCCCCAATTTGGATAAAAGTAATATAAATATTTTCACGTTTCCTCGTGTATATGTCACACTTTCATATCACCTTAATACCACTTCTCCCCGTGAAAAGCTTCAATCTACATCGTAAGTCTCATCTCTGGGTGTACCGTTGTTGCGGAGCGCGGACACGAACGGCGGCGGTAGTACTTTCTGGGGTCGGTGCGGCGTCGCGGCAGGACTTTCGAAACACCTACCGGCGGCCGCTGCGCTGCCGTACGGGTAGGCCTCGGCAAAGTTGTACCCTGCTCCGGGGTAGGAGGCCGCGGCCGCCGCGGCGTTCTGGTACTCGTAGAACTGGGACGCTGCTGCGACGGCCGCGGCGTGACTGAGCTGCGTCGCTGTAGCCGGCAGTGGCACCAGACCTCCCGGGGCGGCAGCCGCCAGATACGGCGACTGGTACACGTAACCCGGTGGTACCCTGAAACAGAAGCCATCAAGATCAGTCGCCGTTTTCCCACTCCCCGTCGACTTCCCTCCTGGTGATCCTCGACTCCCGCTCCCTTAAGGGCGACTTAAGGCTGTACGATAGTGACGTCAGAGGTCTCGTTTATGAAACTTTTCTCCGAATTGAGCCTACCGAATTGTTTCAAACTTTACAACGTGAACTTGGAGGCTGTAAGGAAGGTTCTAACATCCAAGAAATTTCAATTTCTTTTGTTTATAGATTTTTTCCAAAATCTTTCATAAAAAATGAAATCTCACGGGTGTCGGGACCTTACTTATGGTCTTTATGATCACGTTGTAAAGTTTCAAACGATTCGATACACCCAGTTCGTGAAAATGTTTCATGAACGATTGAGCTTTCGGATGACACTTTCACATCCCCTTAAGGCTGTACGAAATGATGCTTTTCTCCGAACTGGATGTACCGATTCGACTGAAACTTCACCACGTGAATATGGGGACCCTAAGGGAAGTCCTTACACCCAGGAAATGTCAATTCTAAATTCCCTTGTTATTTTATCTCGTGTGAAAAAAAATTTAAAAATTTCCTGCCTACCGGGAACGCTCCTCAGGGCGTTTGCATTCTGGTGGTGTAATTCCAAATGATGCGGTATATTCGGTTTGAAAAGGAAAATGTTTCTTGTTCGATTTGTCTCTTCGATGCCACTTTCGTATAACCTTAAGGTTCCTTTTCAATTGCTGCATCGATGCGAAATTGAACGCGGTGGAACGAGCCGATTGGGAGGAAATGGACAGATTGCCATTGTGGATGGTTAATAAAGAATTAAGACCTAATCGGTGCTTCTTTATGCCGATTCAACTTTGTGGCGATGCAACAAATGATAAGATAATTGCACTCCGCGCGTTTTCACCGCGTCTGCACGTAGGATAACATTTGGTTGAATCAAGGAAAATTCATCGGTGGGTCAACTATGGAATAACTAAACATTCGACATGAGAAAATTCTTTGGTTAATAACTTTTGGTTGATCGTGTAAAATGTTGCGGTAGTTCATATGAAATATATCATGAAATACCGAAATTTTACCAAAATATTTGGACTGCCGACTAAAATATATTTCTATGTGGAATCAAGAGAATTATTTAAACCGAGAAGATTTATTCGACACGACAAAATTCATTGGTTAATCAATTTTGGTTGATCGTGTAAAATGTTGCGGTAGTTCATATGAAATATATCATGAAATACGGTACCGTTTTACCGAAATATTTGGACTGTCGACTAAAATATATTTCTATGTGGAACCAAGATAATTATTTAAGCCGAGACGATTTTGTTGATCGGGGCTATTAGGTTTGCTCGAGTTAATTAAAATTCGCGTAACTCGAACCGATGAGGTTCTATGAAATTGACCTAAACGATTTTGTTGAATAAACCAAATTTCTTTTCCTGCGTGCTGAAGTTGCGAGTGCGAACCAAGATGGAGGCCAGAACTTTCTTCTGCACTTTTTAGGGACGGAAAATGTGGCGAATCGGTGCGTATAGAACTTATATTGTAGATAGAGAAGATGTCTTTTTTGAGATGTCTTTTAGAGAAGACATCTTATTTGACGTTTCTTCCTCATTTATTCTCTAAATACTATTCTCGCCGGGTTTTCAATGTTCAAATTAACTAATTGAAATCATTCTTTTTTCGTCTTAAGGGAAGATGCAAAAATGAACGGCCGGATATTTTTCTCGACTTCGATCTTTCAAGAAAAAGAAATTATTCGGATCTCTAGGAGACTTCAAATTAAAAATACATTTTTTTTTTTTTCGAAAAATTTATGCAAAAATTACTTATAGCCTTCTGGAAGTCACTTTGCAGAAGTTGTGGTGAAAGAAGAGGAAAAACGATATTTTAACATTAAGGAGAATGTTAATTAAAAATCAGTCGAAGTCAAACCTCCGAAACGTCACTTTCCCTCGGGCTAAAGTTTATATGCAACTAATTGCAACATTTTACGTCGTGATTTCATCGAAAAAGGAAACTTCTCGTCCCATCTTAGTGCGTTTGCGCGAACTCGTGCAAATATTGAAACGCCCGAAAAACTTGGAGTGTTCCGGGAACGGGGTTTCCATAATTTAAAAAATTCTTACATTTACATTGTTAATTTAATATACCACTCGAAATGCTCTGCGAGCTGCACTGACAAACAAATACTCGTGACTAAGGCAATGATACACATTTTTGCGATACGATAAGTGGATGAATGGGAAAAAAAAAAAGGAATTCAAAATATAAACGTGAAAACTGGAAAACGCGTCTTTGGAACAATCCAAATTTCCACGGCGTGGCACTAGCCGACATGTCGACTTCCCCGGAAAACCAAATAACCAATGACGGTACTTTTGCCATTTTCCCGGCAACGGCTCGCACGAAATTCCGGAAAATTCAGTATAAATTCAGTATAAATTCAATTAAATTAACAACATACATTTTCCAGGTTATCGACGCGTTCTTACCTCCCAGGGAAATTCGGAAATTATATGGAAAAATTACTAACACGAAGACTCTCAATTCCACCCAGGAATTAGTATCGAATTTAATTCCACTACTATTTTCCTAATATACGTTTTCCCCGATTTTTCTATTTTTTTTTTTCCAATGTTCTCGATATCCCGAATTTTCTTCCAACTTTCCTCCGCATGAATTGAATTCCGTCATAGGTTTTCAAATTTTCCCGGGAAGTGTCGAGGTAGAAAAGAAAAATAGTGCGTGAAAGTGCCGCGATTGGTCGCGTGCGTCGCGAGCACTCCGGCGACCTCTTGGCGGCCTAGGGAACTCTTTATCTAGGGAGAAATCCCCCAGAAAAAGTAACTATCGGAGTGCCCGCGGCTTATCCCTCCCGAGTCTACCAAAACCAAACACGCAACACATCAAAAGACAAAATCGGCGAGGGACCGATAACGAAAGCCCGTCAAATCCACCGACGAGGAGGAGCGAAAGCGATTCAATTGTCTTTTCAACTATTTCGTTGACAACAATGGCGAGATGATAAGAAACAACATTTTTCTCAATTTCCAAACACCCGCAGTATGCATATACCAGTTGACATGCACATTTTTAAAATACCGTCAAAATTATTCAGAGACAAAAAAGAATCATTTCAGTTGCCTTTTCAACTATTTCGTTGACAACAATGGCAAGATGATAAGAGACTCAAAATTTTTCTCAATTTCCAAAGACCCGCAATATGCATATACCGGTTGACATGCACATTTTTAAAATACCGTCAAAATTATTCAGAAACAAAAAAGAATCATTTCAGTTGCCTTTTCAACTATTTCATTGACAACAATGGCAAGATGATAAGAAACTCAGCATTTTTCTCAATTTCCAAAGGCCCGCAGTATGCATATACCGGTTAACATGCACATTAAAATACCGTAAAAATTATTCAGAGACAAGAAAAGAATCATGTAAAAGGTTAATCTGCAACCATTGTCAGAGTAGACCTGCATTGTGATATGAAAATGGCGTGAGACACCTTTATGAAACTTTCCTCCGAACTGGGTGTACAGAGTCATTTCAAATTTTACAACTTTAATCTGGAAGGCAAATGAAAGGTCCCTCCACCCATAAAATTTCAATTTTTTTTAAATTTCTTATGAAATATGAAATTTCACAGGTGGAGGGACTTTTCATTTGACTTCCATATCCAAGTTGTAAAATTTGAAACTATACGGGGCATCCAGCACGAAGAAAAGTTTCATAAACAATTGATGATCCTCTCATGCCACTTTCACATCCCCTTAATGAAAAGACAATTGGAAGGTTAATTCGTGACATGTTAAGAAATCTCGAAATTGAAATGACTGGTAGATGCATCAAGCGGTCTCAGTTTTCTCTAAACATTGTTTCAGTTGACAACAATTGAACCCTTTTCTCCGTGTGTGCGGTACGTGAGGATGTGTCGGACAATCCGGCACACTGCAAAGATGATAATGAGATTACACAATCAAAAAATTAACCGCGCATTTTTACAGTGCATGGACCGGAAGTAGGTCTCTCGCAAAGACCTCCGGGGTGTGGAGGGAAGCGGAAGGAAGCATCGATGGAATTAAGGCGATATGAAAGGGTCATATTCTGTATACATAAAACGTCAAAATATTTATATCTTTTCTCCAAATTGGGTGCACCGAATCATTTGAAACTTCACCACGTGATTATAAAAGCCCTAAGGATGAGCCCGTGAAATTTCATTTTTCATACAAAAATGTGGTTTTGTTCTAATCTGGGATAAGTAAAAAAACGAAAACTTTTTTTTTTTTTTATGAAATGTGCATCGCGTTCTTCCTTAGAGCCTTCATAATCACGTGTTAAAGTTTTGATATTATTCGGTGCACCCAGTTTGAAGAAAAGTTTTATAAATATTTTCACTTTTTGATATATAGATTGACCCTTTCGTATCACCTTAAGGTGATATGAAAGAGTCACTCACCATACATACCCTTTCATCCCACCTTAAGGTGACATAGAAGTGTCATATACACCTACCAAAAAGTCAAAATATTTACAAAGCTTTTTTCGAAACTTTGCGCACCGAATCATTTGAAACTTCATCACGAGATTATGGAGGCCCTGAGGAAGAACGCGATGCACGTAAAATTTCATTTTTCGGAAAAAAAAAAAATGTATTTATCTCGGACAAGAATGGAATAACACCTTTTTTTTTTTTTTCGAAAAATGAAATCTCACGAGCGTTCTTCCTTAGAGCCTCCATAATCGCGTGTTAAAGTTTCCGATAATTCGGTGTACCCAGTTTGGAGAAAAGTTGTACCAATATTTTCACTTTTTGATATATATATTTATTGAGTGACTCTTTCATATCACCTTAAGTCGATCGGTGACGTCGAACTCATATCAGGCGATTTAACGATCAAGAGACTCGCAGTGTCGCCAATGCAACAACAAACCAAAAACGGTATAGGTATACGTATACTTCTCGCACACGACACACCGTTAACTGA